TGCTGCTGTGCTTGGGACTGAGCCACCAGTCCTTTTATCATAGCTTCCAAGGAAGATGATGAATCAGACTGTGGAGGCGGTTTAGTCTGAAAAGGTGGTTGATGATTTTGAAAATTCTGATGATGATGTTCTGAGAATTAGAACTGCTTGCATGTCGATGTTGTTGAAAATTAGGGTTTCCTTGCTGCTTATGGACAGGGGGGGTTCAAACTTGGACTATTCCATGAAAAATTTGGGTGCTGTCACCAACTGGCATTGTATGTGTTAGTGTAGGGATTCGATCTATTATGAACATAATTCACAGATTCAGAATTGTGTGGACACAGTTCATAAGAGTGTTCCCCTCCACAACAGACACACTGCACTGAGAGGGCAGCTGGAATAGGTGATGTAACAGCTGACTGCACTCCTTGGCCCGAAGTTAGATTTTTAAGCATATTGGCCACAGAAGAGAGTTGTGCTGTTAATGCAGTATATGCATCGACTTCTTGTATTCCTGCTGTCTTCTTTTGCGGTTGAGCACGTGGATCAGCCCAATGTCCATTGTTCGCAGAAATTTTTTCTAGGATCTCATATCCTTCATTGTAGGTCATAGCTGTAAAGGCTCCGCCCGCAGTCGCATCAAGCATTTGTTTTGCCATGGGATTTAACCCATTGTAAAACGTCTTGAGTTGAATACAGTACGTGATGCCATGGTGAGGGCATCTCCTTAACAACTCTTTGAACCTTTCCCAAGCGTCAGGAACAGCTTCATCGTCCATTTGTTTAAAAAGGCAAATTTCATTCCTGGACTTAGCGTTCCTTGTTGGTGGGAAATATTTTCGCAAAAACTTTTCCGCCATATTACTCTATGAAGGCACAGACCCCGGGGTTAATGAATTGAACCATGCCTTTGCCTGATCCCTTAGAGAAAATGGGAATAAAGTGAGTCTCAGAGCGTCATTAGACACTCCCGGGATCATGAAAGCATCAGTGATTTCCATAAAAGATTTCAAAGGTGAATGTGGGTCCTCCGAAGGTAATCCGGCAAATTGTGCGTTTGTTTGCAGCATGTGAAACATAATCGGTTTTAGTTCAAAATGAAGAGCGGTCATATGCGGCCTAACTATCCCGGAATTTAATTGCTCAAAATCCGGAATGGCATAGTCCATGATCCGTCCATTTTTGGAATTTGCCAAATTAATGATATTCGAAGTTTTCTCTCTTGGTTGTTCATTATTCTCCGACTCTGTTTCCTCATTATGATTATTATGGTGGTGGTGTTCTTGCTGAAAATTCGGAAAAGGTGGTATTGTCCCAAAGGCAGGCGGTTGGTTTTCTAAATGTGGAATCTCAGGGATAATTGGGGGAGGTAACTCCATGTTGGGAGAGATTAGAGCAAAAAATGCTCTTTGAGCTCTCATTCTTTGGCGAAAGTTCTCTCAATATCGGGATCCAATTCAAAAATTTCCCCGCGATGTCTCCGTGACATACACCAATTTTTAAAAACGATTTTAAAAAACGGGACGAGAAAAATCAAGTCTTTTACTTTACTAAAAAGAAAACTTTTAACTAACTAATCCCTGGCAACGGCGCCAAAAACTTGATGGGTCGTGGAAACCACAGACACAAACAACAATCAGGACTAAAAGCAAGTATACAAATAGTCCCAATATCGTTTTTCAAGTAATAAAAGTGGTACAAGTACCGGATATCGTCCACAGGGATCGTAGTAAAAGTTTAAAAGAAAGTAAGGTTAATGAAATGATTTCAGAAGGCGAATTCGAAGACTTTGATTAGAACAGAGTTAATACAACTAAAAACAGGAGATAACAGAATATAAAGCAAGCTAGGGTGTATGACTTTTAGGGTGAGAAGTAAAAATTATTTCCAGTCGACCAATGCTGTCAAAATGCTACAGCATGAAACCATGCTGACAGATTGCTACAACATGCAATCGGTAACAATTATTTTTACCAATTACTTTGAAGGTATTCCTCTCGGACTTCACCAATGCACTGATATTATAGCTTTCAACACATATCTCTATGATGTATCCAGACCAGTGAAAGTGACAAATGGTGTCTTCAAAGTATATGGATAAACAAATCTCTTTGTTAAAAAAATCGCCCTCTCAAGTGGATTCCCATATCATTC